TCGTGAGTATTTTCTGGTCTAGGGTACAAGTCCTTTCTTCCACCGAGCTGTTCTTTAGGACTGACCTATCAAAGATGATTCCCTCCATCTATCACCTGAGCTCTGGGGTCTCCAGCTTCAGTATGGACTTAGCGGCAATCACTTCAGCCCAGAGTTCCCCTCTCCGGTGAGGGCCTTTGCTACATGGGCAGGGCTCAGTTTTGAAAAGAAATTCTGCTGCAGGCTTTCTTAATGAAACTTGTATCAGACTTAGCAGAGGCTTGTGAATAGCTTTTGATCTCAAAAAATTAGCAATTGATGAACATTGTCTCAAGAGAGTAGTTGACCAGCTCTAGTAGCGCTGTGTTCAATAGCTTGCCCTCTTTTCCCAGCTATAATAAAAAATATCTCTGTTTTCTACAAATCTCACCTGCCAGGTAGTAGGCTATCATGGTTGAAACAGCATATTAATCAGGTTTAGCTATCAACATCAAACTGATTAGCAGTTAATATCAAGAGTAAATCAGGGATAAATATTCCATCCTTGATAGTGATAGTCCATAATGATATTAGAAATATTATTTAAAAAAAAATTTAATGTGCATTCAGAGTAGTTTTTTCCTCAGCCAGCCCAATGGTATGAGAATGATTCTTGGAGTAAAAGATTGAGTTGTACTGTTGGAAATGTGGTGAATCACAGTCATAAAGCTTTGAAAATAAATGCAGAGACTATAGCCACACAGCTTTGCAGACTTTACACTGGTTGAAGGAACTTGCCCCAAGTATTCAGACAATATCTGTGCTTTGCATGTTAATTGAAGCTGACTGGTATCCAGACTGTGGTGGTGTTAATCTTCTCTGCAATGACATGTAATGCTATTTTTAAAAAAAATCAACAGCATAAAAGACAGCCCTCTAGCTAAGGAGATAAATATTTGTACACAGATACCATTTTATTTATAACAGGGAGATGAATGCTGGGAGCTGTTACTCAGAAATTTTACATTTCAAGAACACACTGAAACTAGCGTCACTTTTTCCTGTTTTTCACTTTGGATCTAGAGTGGCTTTGGGTCTTTGAGCTGTGTAACTTTCATGGGCTGAGTTCAGTTGTCCAGTTTCTAGTCATTTGCTTTCTGTCTCTCTGAATCTTATGGTAGCTGGTACTTCAGGGGAACATTAAAAAGAGGGGGAGTGGGGCAGCAGAACAGCGTGCATTTGGGATGACTTCTCACCTTCACTGAGGACCGAACCTGCCTGCTGTGCACAAATGTATTGATCTACTAAATTCTATGAGATTATTTGCAGATACTCTCAGGGGTTTTTACGGTGGGTGCATACAGATATTTGCCTTGGGAGGGCAGTGTGGGAAGCTGTATTCCACAACTGGCCCTTTTCCAAGATTTTACACCTACTTGAGCTCCCTGTGGGGTCAGAGGAAGTGAAGATGCATAGCATTGCCCAGGACAAGGCTTTCCCTTCGAGCAGTTAAGAGATTATTCCAAGGACTAAAATGTGAAATAACTGTGAGTAGAACAAAGACGCTCAGACTTTCTCCATGATATTTGGCACATATTCACAGAGAATTTGGAGACTGGAGGCATAGCTTCCCTTGGAAATCTCATTAAGAAAGGCATTAGCAGTATCTTAATGTAATTAAACAACTAGATTTAGAGCTAATATTGTGTGATTAACCAGTTCTTTGTAATTGCTGTGCTGATGACTGTAATCTGAGAAATTTTTGGCTGACCTACAGCCTGGCTCACTTGTGGCATGTGCTATGATCTTAAGACAGCTTAATATTAGAAATGGTTAACACCTCCCTTCTGGTCTGGGATTTCCTTATGCACAGGAATTGGCTGCTTTTCCTACAACTAGTTCCATGGTCTTCAGTGGAACTAGGTCTGGTACATCTGTGCAAATTTTTAGTTCTGAACTTGAAAGGAAGATGAGAACAAAAAAGAAACTATGAAAATTTCAGTTTTGATCAGTCTATAATGAACTTTTTAGAACAGAACAAAACATGCTTTGATTGAAAAAAAACACTTTGTTCATACAAAACAGACAGTTACAATAAAAGCAAAGTAAATAATTAACAGGGTTCCTTAAAATGATTATGATAATCATATCAGTATGTTTCTTTTAGTCTGACAGACTCAGCATTTTCCTGTGAAAACAGTACATGTGACTGAAACCTACTCACTTGCTGCAATGACTAGTTTATGGGGTAAAGATAGGAAGGCAGCATCCTTCCCTCTGCTTCTGTTGCTTTAATAAAGTCTCCAAAAAAGAAAACATGTTAAAAGTTTGTGGTAATGTTTTTATTTCAATCAAAATGGTTTGGTGAATTTGATTGAATTCCGGAATTGCTTTAGCCACCTTGAAACAGAATTTTTCAGCTAATAAATTTGCCTGGATGCCCTTCAGTGGGACAGCCTGGCTTTAACTTTATGATTGCATTTAGGACTCTTTCAAAAAAAATAGATACATGCAATGCATTAAAGACAAACTGTCACTGGGCTCTTATTTAGTAAAGGTAACTGGCAGCAGCTGCTGTGACTCAATGAATCAGAAATAGTTATAGATAATGGATGGTAAAACAAAGACAATGTAATTTTTTTTCACATGAGAGCGGCTGATTGTGTGACAAGATTTTATTATAACAACTGTACTTCTGTTTTTCCAAATGATTGATGCACGCAGTACTTTGCATAATCTTCTTCGATGATGAATGTTGGTGCCACGAAGCAACCGTTACTCACTGTGCTATTATTGAACATGAATTTTGAATGACTTGTGGCACAGAGCTGCTAGGTACTTAAATCAATGAAATAAAAGTCAGGAGGAGCCAAAGATAGCATTCCTCCTGTAATATTGACACCTGTGGCTTGTGTAAACTGTCTCTCTGGTGACTAGTTAAGGGGTCACATCTCTGGACTCCCCACTCCTAGGATGAAGGAAGGAGGAGGCGTATGAACCAATGCTTAGCGTTTGGACATGAAAGTTTTGAGTTTTTCTCTTCCCCCCGCTCCTGCATTGGCAAGAAAATCTGGGAATTGGTAGGAGGGATCAATGGTTTGGCTCTAGGGAGGGGGTGACTTCATCTTCCACGTATTCTGCCTGAGGCTGGAATCAGCCTGAAAGGTGGGGGAGCACATTTCCTAGCTCTGCTCATCAAACACAAGGTGTTTCTGCTCACACCTGGTGGTACAGTTACACAGAAGAGGGGTATGGGAGCACTGAGCCGTGTTTCTTCTTCTATGGGGCTGAGTTTTCTCCATGGATTCCCCAGGCTGGGTTCCAGGATTGGAGGGAAACCTGCTGGCATAGTTGGATGCTCTCCACCTGGCTTACAGAGATGAGAAGAGTTGTGTTCATTGTATTTGTACATCACTCACCTTCCCATCTCCATTCTCACATCAGGAATGAAATACTGAACAATAATTTTGTTTTTCAACCACCAACAAGCAGATGAGTTAATCCTCCCAGAGATGGAGGGTCCACTTCTTGCTCAAGACTCTTTGTAAAGCTAAATATGTAGCTTTATGGCATTTATGTAGGAATGTCATTTATGTGCCCTTGCCAGAGGAACAATCTATGTTTTTTTTTATGATTTTTGTTCTCCACAGCCTCACTGTGTATGTGGGGAAAGGTGGAGGAAGAAAACCCAGCTGGAAAGAGCTGGTGGTGCAGTGCACATGTGCAGACTGACTGCTCCTCAGTTCTGCCATGAAATACAGCCTCGTGGAGACTTGATTTCTCCTGAAAACACTGATACCACAGGGGCATTGTGATAGCAAGGGAGTACAGATACTCACCTCGTTTTAAGGACTTAATGCACATGTCTACAGTTGTAGGTAGGGGTCCCAGTACGGTTAATGAAGTGGGAGTAGGCACCTATATTGGGCATTATCTCTGAATTACCTTGTGGAAAAGGTTATTTTTCTCCATGGACTATAGAAAGAGCTGAGGAAGAGTAGTCTCTGAAGTAGAAGACAAATATTAGATGAAATGACTACTCTACATTTTTGCATCTTGAACAGGACAAATGAACAATTTGTGATTTCTGCTACACTGTTAAATGTATATTTGAATGTTTATTTAACTGCTGTGTAACAAGGATAAAGACATTCACAAAAATGCTTTAACGTGTCAAATCTTTATTCTATTGTCCCTTCAAAGAAAGGATCACTTTCTTCTTCTAATTGTGTAAGCTTGTATATTCTTGCATTATTTAAAATAATTAGCTATTGCTCTTTATCGCTCTTTACTTTTACATTTTTTTTTCCTCTTTCCTTTTTTTTTTTATAATATGATTTGTCACAGAAAATAGAGTGAAAGAGAGGAAAAGACAAAACAAAATTGCACAAATATTTTAATTGTCTTTGACACAGAAGATGTTTTCTGCACTAGTTTTTGTTTTCAGAAAGTCTCTTCCCCCCTCCCCCAATACTACTAATACTACTAATAATAGCCTGATAAAAAAAACTTCCACGAGTTCTGTTTCATATAGATGGGATAGTCTAAGGGTGACCCCTTGGTCTAATGAAAATAATAGTATTTCCTAAGCTTGTATAGTATTTCTAAATATACTCTAACGCAATTTTGCATATGTGTACACCAGTCATCATAAATGGCTGACATTTGTCAACAGACACTGCTCAAGAAGTTACTTCCTTTCTTATGGCTAGTATGAAATTGCCTTCTTTTAGCTCCTGTGTTAAATTCCAAGTGTTTTCTCTTCTAATTTATTTCAGTATGAGTCGGGGACAGTCATAACTCACTGAGTTATTTGAGCCTGAAGATAATATGATGTTTGCCTGACATCACTGTGACTGATCTTTGAAAAGTGATTTTTGTTGATTTCTTATATATGCCTTAAAGAACCTTGTAGACTTCCAAAAGTTCTCACCTCCCAACCATGTATGTTAGGTCTCATGCTGGATTCATTTGGTACTGACACTCACTCTCAAACCTATTTCTCTTTGTACTAATCAGATTTCTGTTTTCCTTTTTTCTAGATTGCGATCTTTGGTAAAGCAGTTAGAGAGAGGGGAAGCTTCAGTTGTAGACCTAAAGAAGAATTTGGAATATGCTGCGACTGTTCTTGAGTCAGTATATATTGACGAAACTAGGTAAGGTAACTACAGACATCAGCACTCTTATTCTATCTAATACCAATGACACAAAATTGTAATTTGCACATCAGTTGGGAAAATTGTTTTAGACAAGATTTATTAGTCATAAACAATATGTTTTTAATCATTAAAATATTGTATTCTGTGTAGAACAGGCCTTCAATCCTTTGTCTAAAAGCTGCTTTAAGTTTCCTGGGGCAGGGAAGGAGATCAAAAGCAGTCATAAATTTAATATATATTCTCTTGGAGAAATGTTTTTGTAATAATTGTGTCCCACTTTTTCTGAAAGTTTCTAAATTCCTACTCCTCTATTCCTTTCAAACAGTGTTAAATGTTTTCACTTATATCAAGTCTTTGAAATTAAAAAAATTTTTACTCCAGCTCATGATAAGAGGTGGACTGGTAAAACATTTCAGAGGAGTTCCCCTCTCCAGTGCTAAATGCACTTGCAGAATCAGCTCAGATGACCAGCCTGGGAAAGGAGAGGACACTATGGAAGTTAGACATGGCCATAAATGAGCTCTGAAGGTCAGAAAGGTCAGGAATATTGACGAGCTGAAGATGAGAGTGGATGCTTATGTAGTTGTGCTTCAGAAGCCTGATACTTCTTGTTTGTCAGACTAGTAGTAAGTTTCACAATCTGACATTTAACTACACAAGAGAGTAAACAATCCATTGAAGACTTGTACAGTTGTGTTCCATTAGGGCTGATGGAGCAAAGACTTTTAACAACTGCTTTAATTAGAATATATGTGTTTCTTTTTTGTTAATGATGTTGCAGTGCTCTCCAAGGGAGTCTGTTTACCCATCTTTTTCCTCCCTCTTCTAGGCGTTTACTGGACACAGAAGATGAGCTCAGTGACATCCAGTCTGACTCTGTGCCCTCGGAGGTCCGGGACTGGCTGGCTTCTACCTTCACACGACAAATGGGGATGATGCTCAAAAGGACAGAGGAGAAACCCCGGTTCAGGAGTATTGTCCATGCAGTACAAGCTGGGATATTTGTGGAAAGGTAAAGGAACATGTGATTACTTTGTTCTAGTAGATCCCCAGGTACTGCAGATTGCACCTTTAGTATGTGATGACACAATGAGAGGAGATGGAGGAGAGTACCTTAGGCCAGAAGAACTTGGAGAACAAGGAGATGACTCTGTTGAATGAAGAATACTTTAATATGCTTCTAATGATGTTTCTACACAGATCTGGATAGCCCCTCAAAACCTAGGATTAAGTAATAGATTGCAATCTGAAACAGCACATACTGGTCTGTACTTTGCATAATAGAGATGTAATAGCATAGTTGGAATAATTTCGACAGAGAATACGCACCTCTGCATAGCCCTAGGTGAAGAATAACAGCTTTTAAAATTTGGTTAGCCCTTGCCCCTCTTTGCCTCCATGGTCTAGTATTTGTTATGAAGAACTGCTAAGAAACAGAAGAAAATCGTGTATCATAGTATTACTGAAATGAACTATAGACCGAGACTGTGAAAACTTTGGAGCTCAGGAAAGATTTCAAAAAACCCATTCAGTCCTCTCAGCCTTCTCTGTTGTGATTTGGATCAGAACCTACTGCTAAAACTGATCTTACTTTCTGAACCCTTTAAAACATTTAGTCATTTCAGTTTGGACTCACTTCCAGTCTTACCTTTTTGAGTAACCACTCTTTGCTGACACTGGTGCATGTGAAACTGTCAGCAGACTTTAGGCAGCATGAAAGACAGCAGGTTTGATGTCTCTACAGCAAAACTCAAATCAGAAATGGAAGATCAGATTTCCTCTCACTGTTCATCAGAATCGCAGTGACAGCCTACCAGCCCCCTGTGCGGGAGGCTGGGCATGACAGACAGTGGACCACAAGCCACACAGACACACAGAAGCCTCCTCTGGCACATCTGTAGCTGATTTTTTTATCTGTGTACCAAAGTCACTGTACATGTGTTAAGAATAACAGCAAATTGGGGCAAGACTAAGCCTGTTAGTTCTCCTTGGAACAGGTTTCTCGTAGGTTTGACAGGTTTATTTGTGAATTGACCCTCATTCTCAGTGGGGGACTTGCTCCACAAGGAAGTAAATGAATTGCAGAGAGCTGGCTGCAGGAGGCTGTTCTCCAGCTGATCCAAATCACTGTGGCCCAAAGGAGGAAGGGTTCAGATACCATACGGCACCAGAGGAGGGTGGTGGCTCTCTTGAGCTAAGGGAGAGGGACTCTGCCTGAATTGTCACTGAAGAGAAGGTTATGGAGCTCCTGACCAGAGAGAGGAAAGTGTGTAATTTGGGGAATAGATTCATTTAATTCTCCAAAGGGGGCTGACCTTTTTCAGGTATGGGTGCAGAACATGGCAAAGCAAAAAGGGAGGTGAAGGAAGACTTCGCAAAGGATCATTTCAGATGGGACAAGAGAGCTTTCCATCACCTCCTTTTAGTCCTATGTTGCTTAAGTGCAAAAAGGGTGATCTGCAGAAAGGCATTTTAGCCATGACAGTGCTTCTGCATTCACTAAGCCTGTTAAACACAGTGTGGCCTGAAAACAAGTTTATAATCTGATACATACTTCAGTGCGTTGTTTCATATGGTTGCAGGTGTTGATTATTGCCTTATGCTTTCTCTCTCTCTCACTCAAACACATGCACATGGTGAACACCCAGAAGATTTTATACCAGTCTTAAAAAAATGCAGACAAAAGTAACAGCTGTACCAAACTGGAGTTGATTCATTGCAGACAATAAATGATTTCTGAAGTACATTCAGAATTAGCTTACACATGGACCAGCAAGGACTAAGGGACCTGAAAGAGCAGTATGGTCATCTGCAGTAGAAAATGGGGAACAACTTGGTTATTTGAGTGTAGCCTTTTCCTCTGATGAAGACCTGATATTGGCATATTCTCTGTGCTCTTCTGCCAGGTAACAAAGCTATGAGATACTGCGGAGTGTATACTCTCAAGTTAGGGTATACAATGAGTGTAGCATACAGAATATTGTGCAAGTTAGGAACAAGAAGGAAGAAAAAGAACCAAATTGCGGTTAGGGTTTCCTGGGCTAAATAAAGTCTTCTGTAATTGTTTGTTGCTTGATGATTTTTGTTTGTTTTGTTTTGTTTAATTCTATTTATGTGTTGTCTTATCTATTTTATCTTGGTAGAATGTACAGACGGACTTCAAATATGGTTGGTTTGAGCTACCCACCAGCTGTAATTGGAGTGCTAAAGGTAATCTCAATAAAAAAGTGATGGAGGGGTGGTTCTATACAAAACATCAAGATAACACTGTGATATTTGACTTGTTAAGGGGGTCTTAGTACTTGCCCTTTCTGACATTTAGTTTAGTTCACATACAATAATCATTTACTAGCCTAAGGAAATATCCTTTCAATAAAGGAAAGAATAGAGTTCAAGACTGTGGCCATTTTCAGGTTGTGAAGGTTACATCTCTGTTCTAGATTATGGTGATTAAACTGAGGACTTGGTAACATGCTGGACTCAATCACAACCTCCCACAGGGAAGAAAGAAAACACAGATTGAGAGAGGTGGAGAAAGAAACGGATCAGTTGCTGTGAGAGAAGGGAATTTTTTACATTGCTCAGCATCAGGCCTTCAAGGTGACAATCGGTTTAGGAATAATGACCCTTTTATGAGTTTTGAGGTTTCAGAGGAAAACTGATTAGTCAGAAGTAGTCTGGGGAAAAAAAAAAGTTTCAATCCATGGGGCAATTGCAAGTTTCTTGATTTAGGAATTATCAAGACTACAAACACAAGTAGCAACCAGCTGCCTGCACAGCAGCTTTGCAGATTACATGTTGCATGTGGTTCAACCGTGCCATGCAATGGTGAAAAAAGGTGATACAGTAGGGCAATACACAAGGACATTATGTGTAAATCTCATGAAGCAATCCTGCTGTTCTACACCACACTAGAAAGACTTACAGTTAGGGTACTGAATCCGTTTTGTTTTGGATAGCACAACTCATCAAAAGATGTGGACGAATTACAGAAGTTCCATGGAATGCAAGAGGAATGATCAAACGTGCCTTTCATGTGCAGAATCAAAGCATCCACCCACACCTTTTTTTTTCAGCTGCAGATTGACAAGTGTTAACTTCACTCCTGCGAATGGAATCTAAAGTCTGTTCTTTTAGAACTACACCCCATAGCCAGCTTATGAGGGAACATACCTATAATGGTACCTCTTCTCCCAAGTTCCTCAGCAGTAACAAGACAATCCAAGGCTCATCAACTACTCTCATCTGATTTAAATCTTGCAGAATCCTTCTACTCTTTCTATGTTTTTAAATTTTTAAGGGTCATAAAGAGAACTGATCATGCTAGAGTAAGTCAAGGCACATCGGTAACAACAAAGTTACTGACTAATTTTGCTCAGGATGAAATAATGCTCACTTGGCTACTGTGCACTCTAGGATGTAGTTTCTTCCAAAACTATTTTGAGAATGTGTCTTTGTCTGGATGGCCTTGGGTTTGGTAGTGGATGAGGCTGAAATGGGAGTTACTTGTTTTGAAGAAGTCTTCTGTCTTTGAAATACTACTTCATCTTAAATTTCTCAATCCCATCTCCTTAACTGAAAATGGTAAAATTTGTTGCTTGCTTCAGTCCAGTAAAGCCAAGATAAAAAACCTTACAACTACCTGACTGCTTGGTGTGCTCTGTAAAAAGAGCTGATGGTTTAAGTGTGCAAAAGGGTGTAGGAGTGTACCACACACATCTCTTCAGCTGTTCTGGGTTACCATAATCAACGTTTCCCTCAGAGTTATGCTAATAAGGACAAGGATTGAGATGACATGGGGTCCGAACTAGCTTATTTTTGAACTGTGTGCTCTTCTGTTTGCTGCCATGGCCAACAGGCCATCTGCACTGAGTAACCCACAACTGTGGAATCAGCTTGGCAAAATGAGGTTGGTTTTAATAAAACAATGAAATATTGCAGCTTCTGTCAGAAATGTAAATGGAGGGGTAGCAGTGCAAGTCCTAGGTGTTTAATCTCTCCCAGTTTTTCAGTGGATGAGAAGTTAGGCAATTTTTTTAATTGATTGCACAGCAATCTGTATATTGGGTACTGATATTCTACTGCAGTAGGCTGTTGCCTTTTTGCATGACATGGGTGTGATGATGTAAGACCTGTTGCCACAAAATGGATGAGCTTTGTCTCTCATTTGAATAGCGAGCATACATACCATTCATACAGACATGTTTGAAAAAGTAAGTACGTTAATTTCCCAGTAAATTGTGGTGATCTGCTGTTCTTCAGTGTAATGCTAGAGACAGAACTCCACGTTAACTAGCTGCTGAAGTGGGTACATGCTTTAGAAGTGATTTTTTCAGCCTTTCCTGATGCCCATGCTGTCACAACAAGATTTTCTGGGCACAGAACGTGTAGTCACTTACAATGTCTGTAGTATAGACTTCTGCTTTTCTGTGGATACAAAAATGTCAGGCCTTGCAGTTATGTTGAGCAGAATAACTTCTATTCCTGAATCTGCTTCTTGGCTTATAAAATAAGTCAAGTCTCCAAGGTTAAGGACAGACAGAAAGGCAGGAGACAGCATCTAGGAAGAAATGGTGTTTCACTTCATCTCTAGGTTCACCCAGGCAGTAGTGCAATGGTAATAAGGGCACAGGACCGAGAAGTAAGACACCTTGGATGTGTTTGCAGTTACACCACAGTGGGTGTATGTGGCATTAGAGCAGCTTTCAACACTTCAGCTGAGGCTACAGGGACAGTGACCTAGAGACATGTGTAGCACAGAAAGTTTCCCATCCCTTGCTTCTCCTGCTCTCCTTAGGGAGAATAAACAGCTTTTCTCCTCCATCACAAGATGTCCATGAAGTTCTGCCTCCCTTTAGATCTCTCCCCAATATAGGGGTCACTTCTGTGGCTTTTGTTTTTCTTTTTTTTTTTTTTTTTTTTAAGGTCATAAAATTCACTAAGTTTCAAAGCCTTACTGGTGTTGCTTCAAGCCTCTAAATCATCTGTGACACTTTCATGCTTCTGTTAAGAGCATTTTCCCCCCTAGTTATTCAGGGTAAAATGCTACTGTCATTATTGTCAACAGCAAAACTTCTGTTGACTCCATGAGAGCTAAGAATTCTCCCACAGTAAAATCTAAATAGCTCTACTCTGAAACTTACTATCTGTGTGGTTAACTATTATTTCATGCAAAAGAACAATTCTGATACACTATTCTGCAATTTCACAATTTGGTAAATTTTATGTGCTGCAGGAGCACAACTTTAACTACAGCAAAAATAGATAAAGGAGCAAAACCCCTTCATTTCTACAAGATAAGATTGACTTGCAATGAATTAAATTGCAGCATAGTTGAGACATTATTTTCAGTGCCATAGAACCAAGAAGTAAATTATTATATACATACAAGTATTAAATTAATTTGCTTAATTGACTGAGATAAAGGATTACAAAATAAAATCACTCAAAACTCAGGAAAATACTTAAAATTGACTGAGTGGATGCTTTGGGCATTATTTTTCTTGCCCATTTTCTAAGTTTGTTCAAGGGCTTCAAAACATGTTTTCTTGGTAGAACTTTTTCTTCTCTTTGTTGTTTTTCCACTCCAATGCCTACTGAAAGTGTTGAAAAGCTGCATTTTATGATTGCTTGATTGCTCTTCTGTGACTTGGGCCACAAATCATCTCTGGAGAAGCTTGACCCTGCCTTCGATGTGTGGGCTCCACACAGCTTGCAATATTAACTGCTCGGCAAGCAAGTGATTTACTGGGATAGGTGAAAACAGAGCTGAAACTTCAGCATCCTTGATACTCACTCCATAATTAGCCTCTCTGTGGACTGTACTTCCACAAGAAGCATACCCAGCTCTGTGTAATCAACACTGTGCAAGTGGCAAGGTTGTCAGGATCAGCCCGTGCTGAAGAGAGCCAGTACCAAAATACCTGGGTTGTGTTCAGAACGTAAGTGATGTATGGGTGACCAACCACGAGGCAGTTAAAGGTCACTGTCCTTTGCATTTGATTTGAAGTCAGGTCCTTACCTGGAACATGGCCGTGACAACAAACAGCAAAGGTGGATTGGGCTTTAAGAGTTTGGTAGATAATTGTAATTTAGCATTTTTAGTATTACTAAAGAAGATTGCAGAATTTTAGATGGACTCTAATCCTTAACAGTACTCAACATTACGTCTAGTCAACCCCATTTCTTGCACTGAGCAGCTGTGCACACGCATGTGTGAAATGTAGTCGTCCTCTTTCTTGGTGAAAGTGCCATAAGGAAATGGGAAGTAACCTGCAACAGAGGTTTTATCAAAGTGGAGGGAAACTTCAGTGTACAGATGTCAATCTTTAATATGTGGTTTAGGGAGAGTCATTTGGATACATTCCTGTGGGAGGTACATCAAAGTTCTCAGCAGGCAAGAGAGATTGAGAGCTGGTCCTGTGCCAGATGCAGCTGTGTGGCTGATCTGTATATCATTCTTCTAGCTATAACTCCTTCTGCGCCTTTCCTCTTTGTTGCTAGGAGGAGGAGAGAAAGGTTCATAGGGTTTCAGGAACATCCAATTCTGCAATCAAGGAGCTTTATCTTGCTAGATAATGAGTGCTGTCAGCTCCCACAGCCTTCTGTAAGAGTTGAGATTTGAACTCAACCTTCTGCGAGAAGGTTTATACCTTATACTTTACCTTTATGAACTGGAAAGTGAACTTTCCCTCCTCAGTCTTGACTGACCACCCTGCAGCATTAATATATCATTTACAGCTGACTAGAACTTTCCCAACTGGAATTAGATATTTACTCTCCTGTTATAAAGGTTGAGTTTTATATCATTGTTAGCGCTTAATGTAACGTTACTGTGATTTTCTCCTGCTCTGTAGTTTTCTGAAAGCCCCACTGAATTCTCTTATCTTTAAAAATAATAAGGAGAATTTGGGTCGTGCTGTCTTTGGGCAATTTAAGCTGCAATAATTGCAGTTCAGGATTAATACTAAAATCAGAAGGAAATAAGTTGCTTTTTGGGTCTAGCATCATAGTTCTAGTTAGTTATTATTTTGGTTGATTGAACAGTAAATGGTAAAAATATAACCACAGGTGCCTGTATTTTTTTTACTGCAAAAAACATATCACCATATTTGATTTTAAGCACGAGTGAAGCATTGGAGTGCTTTGCTCACAATACAAAGTCATAAGAACTCTATAGGGAGAGTAAAACCCAGAGGCTTTAATATCATTAAAAAGCATATCTTCGTTATTCCTGCTTCCTTCAAAGTTAATATTCTTTTTCATAGACAGCATGAGGCTAGGGGACAAGGTAAAAGGGTAAAATCAGCCAATGTTGCACATAATAAAGAAAACAGGGATTCTTATCTTTTTGGATTCAGCCTTTGTTGATTAAATTCTGGTGTAGGGAATTACCATGTATTAGAATAAACAAACAGCATACATGTTCTTAATGGAAGCTTCTTAAACATGAGTCACACAATACCGATGAGTAAATTAGACTCTATGCTCTGCATTGGTTAAATAGAATTGAAGAAGATAAAAAAAAAAAAAAAAGCTATACAGTTATATCACTACTCTAATTCTCCATTTGTAGATGTAAAGTGATAGAAATTGAACTGTGATTGTAAAAGGGATGACCATATTAACTGTCTTTTCTACTCACTCTTGCAGCATGTAGACAAGTGGTCCTTTGATGTATTTGCACTAAATGATGCCAGCAGTGATCATGCACTGAAATTCATTTTCTATGAACTTCTCACACGCTATGATCTGATCAACCGTTTCAAGGTCAGTAGTTAGAAGATGGGTCTGTTCCTTCTCAGATTTCGTTCAACTTCCCTCTGATCTACTTTGTTCCATTCAAAAAGCAATTTTAGCGCTATTTGAAAGCTTCGTGGACACTGCATTTTCCCCAGTAAGCAAGACCAAATGTTATTTAAGTGGTACTTTTAATTGCAATGGGACAACATGAAGCCAAACAGGCTTCCCCATGAAATCCATGGGAAATACTACATTTGATCCTGTGGGAATGATGGTGTCATTCTGCTGAGTTTCATAGGACTCTCAAGCGTGCCAGCAAAAAAGGAGAGCTTTGGATTCAAATTCAAATCCCTCAAGAGTGTCCAGCAGGTTCAGGGAGGTGATTCTGCCCCTCTATTCTGCTCTCGTGAGACCTCACCTGGAGTATTGCATCCAGCTCTGGAGTTCTCAGCACAAGAAAGACATGGACCTGTTGGAGTGGGTCCAGAGAAGGCCACAAAAATGATCAGAGGGGTAGAGCACCTCTCCTGTGAAGAAAGTCTGATAAAGTTGGGGTTGTTTATCCTGGAGAAGAGAAGGCTCTGGGGAGACCTCATTGCAGCTTTTCAGTACTTAAAAGAGGCTTTTAAGAAAGATGGGGACAAACTTTTTAGTAGGGCCTGTTGCAGTAGAACAAGGGGTAATGGTTTTAAACTAAAAGAGGGTAGATTTAGACTAGATATAAGGAAGAAATTTTTTATGACAGTGGTGAAGCGCTGGAGCAGGTTTCCCAGAGAGGTGGTAGATGCCCCATCCCTGGGAACACTCAAGGCCAGGTTGGACAGGGCTCCGAGCGACCTGATCTAGTTGAAGACGTCCCTGCTCGTTGCAGGGGGGGTTGGACTAGGTGACCTTTAAAGGTCCCTTCCATCCCAAACTATTATATAATTCTATAATTGTTACAGAGTTTTGCAGATACAAATGCTACATATCTTTTTTCTCCAACTTTGAACAGGCTTAAATTTGGATGGCAGAAACACTGCTCTCAGACCTTGATCATTCTCCCCACCCAAATACTCCACTGTCCCTTCCTCCATTGACCTTTCCACTCCCTGGGGGTCCCCACTCACTTTAGCTGGGAAGGCTTTACAGATCTCTGGCTCCTGCACTACTTCAGGAACTGCTTGTGCCTGATGAGAAATGTTTGAAGAAGGTAACTGGTCAGAACTGCATCCTCTCCTGATACGTACCCAAGAGGAGAACAGTAGTGCTCCTCTAACTATGGAAATATGAGCGTTTAGGGTATTTGCCATTTGAGCAGGTGAAATTAGAGAGCTGACGGTTATTGAGAGATGGGACTCCGGAAGGGTCTTACTTACTTAGTAAGAGGTTGAGAGTTCGGAGTTGAAATCAAAGTCGAAGTCATGGTCGAAGTCAAAGTTGTGGCCGAAGTCATTGCCAAAGTCGTTTATTGTCAACAATCCCTCTACAATTATACAGTCTCTAACAATACCTGTCAACATTTGATTGGTCATTACCCTCTGTCCGTAATGCACCAGACAACTCATTGGCTACAAGTTAGTTACTGTTATCCTAAGCCTATTGGTTAATTAAATCTTACAAGCACAAACACAGTGTTCTATACACTTTTAGCTCAAGGTAAAGAACTTTCCACTGTAAAAGAAATGGCCAGATGTTTTTCTTTAATTGTTGCCTTGCATGTTTTCTTCAGACGAAGCTCAGCATCCTTATCCTGTTTTTCTACATTCCTGTTTGCTGCTCCCAAGGCTTCTGGCCGACCAGGGTCAAGATGTCCTCATCATTCACTAGCTGTACAGCTCTCTTAGTTCTCCCCAGCCGTCCTGCTACAGAGAATGTCTGTTGCCAGTTGTGTATGTTGCAGCTGACACCACCTGTGTAGTTTCCTCTCTAGAAATCCCATGAATGGCATTATTTCAAGTGTGCACAGTTCTACTCCTGGAGTTAGAAAAGCATGGCAAGCCCATAGGATGGGCAGGCTGGATTTCACTGTGAGAAGCCAGAGGTCTGATAAATGATAATCCTCTTAGTAGAGTATCTCAGACTTGCTGCATGATGTGTCATTAGAAAATCTTGAATGTGAATAGTAAATCAGAGATATATTCCATTGGGTTGTGAGGGGAACAGACAGATGCTTGTGGCCTAATTAGAAATATTTCTCCGGGGGCAATCAATCAAGTGCTGTCTATTACTTTTCATACTGCATGTGACTTCCAGACAGCATTTCATAGTATACCTACTTGTGTGTGTTTATGTGAGGGAATGATTTATCCATAACATAATTAGGGATGAGAAGGCCAGTTTGAGGAAGTAACTCTCTCGAGTGCCTGTTTCAGATGGTTTAGCATATTATTTATTTGTGAAGTACAAACTACTCTTTTGGACCTCTTATGAAAATGTTCCCCTCCAAATGCCAGCCTTTAAAGGTGATTATTTTGTTTTTAATTCTGTGCTGCTTTACTCAGATCCCCATTTCTGCCCTGGTGTCCTTTGTGGAAGCCCTGGAGGTTGGCTACAGCAAACACAAAAATCCTTATCACAACTTAATGCACGCCGCAGATGTGACACAGACGGTCCATTACCTCCTTTTCAAGACAGGCGTAGCGGTAAGTACGGGAGTTGGCATCCTGAATATATAATGAGATTACAACAGTTTTTGTCAATAAGGAGATTATGATTATCCACAGTGGAACCCATTTGCACTGTAGACAGACTTCATTTTGATATGGTTGTGCTAATGAAAGTAGAGATTTAGGATTATTTAGAAATAGAAGGTAGGTGAAGATGTCAATAATTCTTTTAACAGTAATCTAAAAGAGGATGAATGAGCAACCCAAGCTCAGTTTTTCACTCTGCCACAGATCTCCTGGGAGGTTCTGCCAACACACTTTTGTTGGAATTCATTTCAACTAATGTGCAGAAGCAAATTGTCTAAGCTTTCTTCGTACTTAAGAGAGCAAGGCAGTACCTCCAAAGGACAATTCATTCCACTTACCTGGGGATGACAGGAGCCATGCTCTGGAGATGCTGATCACCAGCCAGTCTCTACAGCAAAACCAGCTGACCTGGCTTACATAGAAACCTACAGACAGCTAAAATCTGACAACAAGGACAGGAATGGATAGAAGGCTTGAAGAAAAATACTTAGTGCACAGTATGTTCCCACAGTGGTTGTCAAGACAAACAGAAATAGGTTTGAAGCTGGACTAGAGCAATTGAAGGCAGACGGATTCCAGGGTGGTGATCAGCCATTGCAGTTTGGGTTTAGCTGGCGGCTCAGAAAGTTGCAGGCCCACTTGGTGGGGAGAATAAATGGTAGGGAAGGCTTAATGTGTACAGGATACATTTCTATCTCATTCTCTTCCTCTTCTTACTCCTGGTTACTGCCACAGACAGAAAAGGGAGATAAATTACTTTTAGTCTGATCCCGTGTGGCTGCTCTTTTCCACCTGTTGTTTGCTTCACCTTTTCCCAGCGTCTCATTTTCACTTGGCCCTTGCATTGGCAGAAGTGTAGAGGCAAAGGTGTCAGTGAAAGGGAGGTTCATCTATTCAACATCTTACACTGTTCTCTCTTGTTACACCACGGCCATTCACTGGTTGCTTGCTCGCTCTGTGGCTGGTATTTGAATACAGGCAATTATCTTCCATTGTGCTTCATTTCACTGAGGTCTCTTCACTAACAAGTGTGCAGGAGCAGCCAAGGTAAGCACTTCCAGGTGCAGGGAGTCTTTGTGGTGAAGAGCACATAGGTGAACCCAGATCAGCAGAGATAGGCTCTCACTGCAGCTCCTGCCTTCTTGCCAAAGAAGAGAGGAGAGCATTTTTTGGTTTTTAAAATGTTGGTTTTGTTTTTTTTTTTTTTTTTCCTTGGGTTTTTCTTGGGTTTTTAGTGATCTTTAACTGAGTTTTCTTGTTTTTTAATTGTTTATTGGCCAGTCTTGCCAATACAGCTTCCTGTCTGAATGGAATTCTTCTCCCCAAAGGAAGAGCTGTCTCTCCAATTTGAATGTTTCCAGGAATGGGACATTGTTCTGATTTTGGTTGGGACAGAGTTAATTTTCTTCACAGTAGCTGGTATGGGTCTATATTTTGGATTTGTGCTGAAAACAGTGTTGACAATGCAGAGATGTTTTTGTTATTGCTGAGCAGTGCTTGGGCAGAGTCAAGGCCCCTTCTGCTTCTCACCCCACCCCACCAGTGAATAGTCTGGGGGTGCCCAAGAAGCTGGGAAGGAGCACTGCTGCTGGGACAGGTGAGCCCAGCTGACCAAAGGGACACTTCATACCATACGAGGTCATGCTCGGCATAGAAAGCTGGTCATTCATGGTGACACCACCACTCTGAAGGTCCCCCACTTGCTGCTTCTTCCCCCAGCCTTCTATGGGGGATGATGGAGAGCTTTTCCATATTCATACCATACTTGTTGCCATGATGCCGCATGACCAGGAATAAAACAGTAGACTTAACTCTTAATGGTCAGAAGGCAGCTTGTCTCTAGGGCATTTCCTTGGCCTGAGTTCATGGGCAAGTTATCTTTATTGGAAAATGTTCTGATATGACTGTGCTTGTGAATACTTAGCCCAGTGCGACTGTGACTCTCTGGAGGAGATTAACTGGAGAGCATGACTGCCTCTATGAGCTTGATCTAACTGATAGATTAGAGAGGTATAATCCTCCTTCCTTTTTCATCAGATTGCATTATTTCTTCTTTTCTCGTGCACAATTTTAGATTGCCTATTGTTTAAAGACTTGGATAATTTTTCTTGAGTCAACTTAATAAATTACTCAGTACAATTAGTCTTTGAGCAAATTAACTTTGGTTCTTCATGAACTTCCTCCTGAATACAAAATTGGGTTTTGCTTCTTGGGAATAAAGGAGAAGAAGGTATTGCAGAAATAACATGGGGGTCTCTGACTTCATAATCCCACTGGTGATACTGGAAGTGAGAGATGAATTTGCCTGCCTCTTCACCATATGTCAATAATAGTAATAATAATATTTACAATGCCTATGTATTCAGCACTATACTTTTGCACAGTTTCACAGGAAGATGTAGACATTTGAAAGTAGTGCAGCCACTTCTCTTAGCTCATATCATCTTTGAGATTGTAAAACATGTTTTCTGAAAGTTGAAGAGGATGAAACTATTTCAGTTTACTTGCTTTTCCTCTGCTTTTATCAAGTATGCTTCTCTGATATAAAGGTGTTAGTCCAGGTGAAAGACAGATCACTCTGAAAGTATGTCGTGTAAAACACTAACAGGCTTTTGTGCATTATTAGCATCGTTAAAAACAGCCCAGTGATACCTCAGTGGGAACACCGCTTGCAAACAGCTTCTGGGGACTATTCAGCCAGGGCTGCTGTGCTGCATGCAGACTGCAGCACCATAATGTGTTGTGGAGGCTTTGAAGGAAATTGCAGAAACAAAGTGCTAAAGCTGTGTGTATCCCAGGCTCCAATCCGACTGAGAAGCAAAACCAAGAAATGGAAAAATATCCATCTTCAATTCTCCCTGTAATGTGTTTCGGCCTTCTCTCAACCTGGCAGCAAATGCAGAAACTGTCCTCCTCTAGCGTATATCTTTTGAGGTTTCCTCTCGTTCATTCCCTGTGTCCACACGCCTTTCAAAGTCACCTGCTCTTGTGACGCCTGATGTTGGAAGTGACAAACAAGAGCCCTTTGGTATTAAAATACTTTCTTTTTTAAGCTCTCTGCAGTATTGTTCCTCTCTGTTTCAGAGGAAACAACCTTCTGAAGTATGTGCAGGGGTCAGAGAACGTGCATATTCCAGGTTTACATCTATGAAAGGGAAACTAAAATGTGTGTGCTTGTGAGCAGAGGTACGTGCTGGCGCTGGAGCCAGTGACCCATTTGCCTGAGCTGAGTCCTTTGCTTTTGTGTTCCTGCTGTCACAAGCTACGCTCAGAGTAGCCCCTGCAGACCGTTATGATGGAGTGGCACTCTGGAGGATGTTGTGAAGTGTCTGGTGCTTCCCAGGAATAATCCCAAACACTAATTGTTCCCACAGCGAAATTATATATGGCATTTGGATTGGGATCTAATGTAGTACAATAAGAAACCACTCTCATGCTACCAGGGAAAAGGGACGAGCAGCACTGTGTGCCAACAGTGACACTTCAGCTTTCCTTCCCTTGTTAGAATGCTTTTTTTGACTTTGAGGTTTGGTGGATTTTTTCTTATTTTCTTAGTTTCCACCCCATCTCTCCTGCAGGATGCAACCCATCTCAGTGATGTAGTTTGAAAATGATCCTCTAGGGGTCATTGATCCTAACCTCCTGCTCACAGCAGGACTAACTTCTAACATGCTCAGTATGTTCACAGATGGTAAAGAAAGGTAGGGGACATCTTCCTGTTTCTAGAATTTGATCACATCAATATCTTATCCTTACTCTAGCATATGTAGTTTTTAGTTCATCACTTTCACAATATTTATGCAAGGAACTTGGACATGCTGCAGCACAAGACTTTGGCTTCAGAAGGCATGTTGGGGCCATTGGTTTAATTCTTTACTGGTATGAAGACAAAGACTTGTGAAAAAATCATACAGTAAAATAGAGAAACCCCTCATCTTGTTAACTAGTTATTTTCAATATGGAAAAAGTACTTTTTTTCAGATTTAATTAATCTGTATAGTGGTACTTTGTTCTAATCTCAAAGGGAAGAATTGTCTGGTTTATCTTTAACTGGTTCATTTGCCTTTGTCATGCTCCCTGTTATTTGCAAGGTCTCTCAACAGTTTTGTTCCAGGCTTCTTTTTTCTTCTCTTTTCAATTAGAAAATCTTCTTTCCCGCTAATCATGTTCACTGCCTGAAATCTCTTTACTTTGTTTTACTTGATTTTTTCTTCCTCAGGATAATGCCTTGGAATGAATTCATTATACTTTATCATACAAACTAGAATATTTTGGGTCCCCTCATAGACATAACGTTGAAAGAGAATTTGGAATTACTTGGATGTTTATCTCTTATTGGTATACAGGCATGATGTGTAGATCTTCTAAGAGCTGACACACTTTTTGCTCATTTCATTATTTCCTTTATTTAACTCTGTTGTTCAGATGTGATTATTACTTTCTTTGGTATTATTTTCTGATTAATCTTCATAATTATTAGTAATTACCATATGATTTCATTGTGAAACCAGACAATGAGGTGCAAATGGTACAGCTTAAGAGTTCTTTTTCTGACACTGTCGAGAATTAGAGGAGAATATTTCCTACAGCAGACCTGTAAAACTGGAGAAGTGCAGGACTTCTGTCACATCTGTTTGTACCAAAGAGAAGTGAGATCCTCCTCTCTTAACTATTGGGATTAATAAACAGATTGTCATGGGCTCTGAAAATGATAACTACTTTGGAATAAAAGACTGTAAACTCTGGGGAAGGAAACAAGCTAATTATTGCTGTCTTTGCTTTGTAGCATTTTCTTGGAAATGCATCCATCTGTTAGATTTGGAAACACTTTTCTTTCCTCTTCCTTTTTCTTTCTGTATGCACCGATCCCTTTGTTTACATGCCAATGACTTGCCTTAGTAGCTAATTCTTCATATTTATTTTATGTTTGTGAAAGACAATCATGCCTCATTACCCCTTTTTTGTTTCTGCTCTGGAAGCCAATACTTGTTCTTTCATGCCTTCTTCCCCCGCCATCCCCCACTCCCTAACATTGCAGAGAATTTGAAGGTTTTGTTCTGGATTGTTTTTCTCAACCCTTTAGAAATGAAAAACATTCCCATTTCTTCACTCTTTTCACCTGTCACGGTGTCCTGCTGCTTTCTCAATAGTTCTTGATGGCTTTGTTCTTTAAAACTAGCTCTCTGTTCCCAAGATGAAGTCCATCACAGAGTAGTGAAAGGTAATATCACCGCTCTGATGGAGATTGCATCCGTTCTCTGCAGGCTCTTTGCCATCTTGTTTGCTTTTCCTTGCAAGGTTGTAGCAGAAAAAAGGGACTAAAAGGTTCCAATTACTTACCTGCTATTTTCCTCCTGTTACTCACAAGCCTGTTTTGACTTTGTGCTACTTCTACTGATTTATTTATTACCCACAGTTCACAACTGTAATCTCAGTCTGTATTCTGAGTGTTCTTCCTCAAAGACTGTTATGATATTTAATACCTCTCATCAGGTGTGTGACACCCTACTTGAAAACCGACATTACCTGAACTTGTTCAACAAGCAATGCTTTGATAGGGCATGAAAGTTAGCACTCTTCCTGTATATGTCTTAAGTGATGAGATGGGAGACCTCAAGCACAGAGCTCATTGCCTTAGTGATGTTTTAAGACTTGGGTCATAAGTTTATGCTGGAGTGGGACTTGTCAGATGATGTCCAGAAGGTCTGAAGTGGTTGCATGAGATTAGCTGGGCATGTCCCCTAGTAGTTCTGCATGCATCATGTAGGTTTGCTCTGCCTGTTCCTGAGCACTTGTGCCTGATTTTTTTCTACCATTTTCACTCTCTCCTTTTGGGAAATGGCAGAACATAGTTGAGGAATGGAAGTCCAGATCTAGACGTGTAGCCTGGAAACCCTTGTTCCCTTTTTTCCCCATTGCAGTTGCCAAAAATTGTTGCTTGAAAGTTGAAATCATGTTCCTCATCAGCTGTAAAGCATTCCTTATTCGCAAGTCACATTTGGAAGCGTTACTGTCCTGGGCCAATTGTGTAGAAATGAGAAAATAGTTCTGTTTCTGTGTCTGCTTATTTCCTGATCTCTTGACCCTGCTCTGCCTCTCTCTCTCCCTCTCTCTCAAAAAAAAAAAAATATCAAGAGCTACTTTGATTATGGTCAGTGGCATTATGTGAAATACCTCTGGCCAATATTTTCAAACTGCATCTTTAGCGTAAGGAGATTGTTAATACTGTGACTTGCTTCATTCTTCATGGGTTATGCAGAGAGGGCTGTGAGAGGGACAGATCGCTGTGTGCAGAGCCCCACAGTTATCTGTGCTTCCCCTGCACATGGTTAGCAGACCAGTAGTGGCTCCTGAGCTACAGCTGATGTCTTGAATATATTTATGAAACCACGCTGCCTTTATTGGGCTTTGGATTAAAAGGCAGTTTGTCCATGAACGTCTGTCAAAATGTTTGCAGGTTGACAGCTGTTACAAAAATATTTGGCAACCACTGTGGTAAAAGTATCCTCTAAATGTAATACAGTTAAGCATTTCATAATTTTTTTTTACAGCATCTACAGTATCTAGACCCTTTGTCTCTGATGTGTTTGATGTTAACAGCACTCCTTGTGTGTTACCAGTGGAAAACCAGACATAAAATGATCGATTAACTCAGAGGAAAATTATTAAAAGCTTCTGAGTCATTTAGAAATCTAAGTCAAAAGTTACTTAAGCGTTGAAAAATAAGGTTTTGGCTAGGCAATTAGAGAAAAAGACCTCAGGCCTTTCTCAAATATTTCTATACATGATAAGCAAAGAACAAGGTGTACACCTTGTGAGGTGGTGTTCCCTGTTTTCCTCATGATACAGTGACTGATGAAGACTTTTAGTTACTGGAAATTAGTGACGTTCTTCTGTATTTGAGGCTCTGCTACCCAGGTCAACTGAGCTGAAAATGCATACCCTGGTGGTATGTGCATCCCTGCACATGTATCATCAAGTTCCACTTGAAGAATCTTGATTTTCCTGAGGTTTCCCTCTCTCTCTTCCTCACACATTGCTCTTTAAGAAGGGCACATGTTTCCCCTTGCTCTGCCTTAAGCCTTCTTAGCTCCTGAAACCATTTTCCTGAAGTTCAATTTATTTAGAGGAAGCTTCAGGGAAAACACTGGTTTGGCTCCTGTGTATCGACCAGGGAAGTTTGCTTTAAAACAGCTGGCAGGCTGCAGGGGAAAGGCAATGATGTGCAGCGCTGACTGTCAGCAGGGGATAACTTGTCTTAAAAGACAAAAGCCTTTATGCCTGGGAAAATGACAGCTCATCTGATTGCTCTGTAATCTCTTTTCAGCACTGGCTGACAGAGCTGGAGATCTTTGCTATGATCTTCGCAGCTGCCATCCATGACTATGAACACACTGGAACCACCAACAACTTTCACATCCAGACACGGTGAGGCCACTGTAAAGCATGATGAAGGGTTGGGAAGTGGAGGGGGAAACCTTTGGAAAATAACAGCACAGCCACCCAGAAAAGTACAGGAGCTTTTGATTTCAAGTGTTGCAGGAGGAAAGTTCACTTCCTTAGGCTGCATTTAATTTTCTATTGCTCAGCCTTTTACAACAGAACGCCATGTATTCTAGCTTCCTGAGCATTGTTTCATATTAATAATCAGGAAAAAGGAAGGTCCCAAAATATTTCTGGGTAAAGTTTCCAAAGACAAGTTGCTGTACAGGGTGATGTATTTTGACAAAAGTATAGTTTTGGAGGAGACACTATAATTCAACAGTTTTTTCCCCATGTTGAATTTGAAGAATCAAACGTTAACTGCGTAAATCAAGAATTCAATGATATCTGTATTCATCAGTGAAGACCAACACTGCACACGCTATTTTTACTTGAGTGAAAAACCACAGCTGGAGCAAGGGTATATGTTTACCATTACCTGATCAGGGATATAATTTTTTAAAGCTTTGTAAATTGCTACACAGTAATTAGCTGATCACAAACTAGGCTGGACCAGCATATTTTTTTGAGCTCAGAATCTTCTATAAGGCTTTTGGGTTAGGGGAAGAGAGAAGGAGAAGGTGAAGATGGCAGCAAAATTCAGAAGTGTGCAAAGATTGTGAAGTCTCTAGTTGCAGTGATAATTGGCTATCTAATGTCTGTGTATGATTTTGACAATGGGAGTATGCTGGTAGTAATGACAAAATGTCCAGATGTCCTTGACTGACACTGCAAACCTGGGCATTTCTAATATGCGTTGCATCTTACCATAAATTAGATGTCTGGAGTATGTTACCTGAATCATGCTGTGTGTTGCAGGTACATAAAGGTTGCTAGGATAAATCACACGTGTGCTCAGGAAAGCTTGGGAAGGTAGAAAGAACTTTGTGTCTCTGTTCCGGGCCAAGCCACACCACTTCTTACAGCTTATGCATGCAAGAATTAGGGATCTGCTGTTATTTCCCAAATAGTCTTATAGAAGACTTCAAGGAACGACGGTGGTAATTTAATTTCTGTAACACTGAACATCAGAGGATATAAAGTGGCAGGGGAAAAAAGTAGACACTGCTTTCTGGGAAGCAGAACTGAATGGGGACTGTAACAAGTCATACTTACCCTCTGTTGCCATTAACTTCCAGCAAGATCTTTGTGTTCAGACCAGTTTAGCCATTCACCAATCTCAGATCTATGCCCTAGAACTTAAAATGAGGCGTGAAGTACCTTTGGTTTTACTCTATGCCACTGGTAATTGCCCTTCCAGACAGCATAGTCTAGCGCACAGATGGCAGAAAGCAGTCCAGTTGTATCTTCTGTATGTTCTGGACACAATATTAGGACACTCCTTGCAATTGCTTCCTTGGGTACAGTCAGGCTTTTAGAGACCAACATACACAGGTGCTGAAAAAGAGCCTCCTGATTCAAGTCTAAATTTACGTCTTTCTCACAGCTTCTGGCATTTTTTTTTTAAATACATAACAAAGAGACTAGGTGAGCCTCAGCTGATGAAATAGATTTTGCGGGGAATTAGGATGTTTAGTTTTCTTTTACTGAATAACAGCAATGAACAAAGTATTACAAGTGCGCTTAAAATGTTCGTATCTGTGCTATAGAACTAATCACTGAGGCTGATCAAAGGAAGACTTCTGAATGTGAGACTCTTTAGACAGTGAAGAAACATAACCTTTCCTATGTTTTCTTTTAAATGCTAGGTCAGACTCAGCCATTCTATATAATGACCGGTCTGTGCTTGAAAATCACCACGTTAGTGCGGCGTATCGCCTTTTGCAAGATGATGAAGAGATGAATATTTTATCTAATCTCTCAAAGGATGACTGGAGGTAAAAATGAACACAGTGGCTGCCTGGGAACATTGCAGTATCACCACATATGCTGTTATTACCTTGTTTGAATGGCAGTATGCATTATTGTCTATTACATATTAGTATTTCTGTTGCTACAAGAAAGAGAGCTTTAAAAGGTGTTTGTCTTGCTTATTTCTACTTTTGGTTTTCCCCTCTGGTAGTGAGACTGGACTTGGTGACAATGGATTGTAATATGCAGATTGACTCCCATCTAATTGCAAAGTCTCACAGAGACACCCTTTGTACACATTCATTTGGAATTGAGTGCAGAGCTAGCCTGCTGTTTGATCATCCTGAAGCATAAACGTAACCTTTGTCTACTATGATACTGCTTGCCTAGAAATTATAAATGGGACTTGATGAAAAAAAGAATGCAGTCCAAGGAACATAAATCGGTGTACTATATATGCTAAGGTGATGTAATAAGCTGTAATTTAAAATAAGCCTCATGCAACATATGATTTATGTGCCAAAATCAGCCCATGGTTTGCTTTCTAATACCAGACAGTTCAAAGGGATGAGGGCTTTCTGTTTTTATGGGGTTTTTTGAACTCCAAGGGGTGGTGCTTTAAAAATAGCCCAGTGTGCTAGACAGGAAGAGTCTCGCTTCATGCTCTTTCTCATAGGAGGGGAAGCAACTTGTGGGATCTTGTGATGCACAGTGCCTTCTGCATACACTTAAATGTGATACAGTGCTGAGCAGTCTGTTGTTCGTCTTATTTTAATATAAACGTGTAAATGTGCCCTTCTCTGGGGTTTGGCTTCTAGCAAGCTGGTCAGTGAAGACTCTGCTTGCTAATCTGTTTAGCCTGAATTTCTTATTTATTTCAACTTGTGGACAGTGATGCGATCCTATAGCTGAACACCAGGAATAAAACTTGGGAACTTACATGACTGATTTCAATCAATGTGAGTGTTGTGGAGGAGTGGCCTGAGAAATTTTATCCCCCAATATAGAATATAGTCTCATGGTGGGCAGCAAGCAGGAACTTTAAAAAAATTTAAAATCTGCATTGAGGTGTTAAAAATCTAACTTTTTTTTTTTTTTTTAGCTACAGCTGGTAATGCCTTGTCAAATATTGGCAGCAAATTACTGCTTCTTTTATGTTGGCGGGGGAAATGCAAGGAACTCACTGACTAGAAACAGCAGCCTTAGAGCCACTGTCTACAGCGAACAGTGGAGCAGCTAGTTGAGTATGCCTCATTGTATAGATACTGTTTTTAGGAATACGGTCTGCTTTGCCACTTCACTGTTTTTGCTTGAATCAAAGGTAGCTTCAGATATTTCTCATTGATTCTGTAGTGTCAACGTGTGTGTTCTGTTGAGGCAACATGCTTAGAACCAAAGCGTCAAAGATAAACCCGTCTCCTTAAGAAATACTGTAACTGCCTTAACAAAACTATTGAGTGGTTTGGATTGCTTATTTGTTCTCTCTCAAGTAGGGCTTTATTATTTTGTAGCTGCTGACCAAGCAGCAGCTGCAGAATAAAGGGCATTATCTGGATGTGCTCTAATTCCAAACATTGTGATTTTTGTGTGCTTTTGCTTTTGACTGCCAGTTTGAAATCCCATAGGCAAACATTTGGGAAGCACTGGAAACATCAGCTGATTTCAGCAGGATCTGAGTTGTAGAGAAAAAAACCAAGAAACCCTGAATTTCCTGGACTGGCACTCAAAAATAGGACCCTCAGTGTTGAAGAATGCTTTGGGAAACTGTTAAAGTGTGTCCAAATTTAACTTTATTTTTGTAGACATATCTGATAAATCTCTCTCAGCAAAAGGCCTGAGTGATGGTTTTTGGAAACCAATTTCTTAAGTGCCTTTCTGAGGCTGAGCTCTCATTCCTTTTTTCACATGACTAGTAAGAGAAAATCTGATGGTCAGTGGATTTTGCTATCCCAGATGTCTATGTGGATTTTATCACTTTTGTGGTATTCTGTCTCCTAGTTAAGGAGTGTATTTTCATGACAGAAATGTAGAAAACTAGGGCTACATTTTACTGTTCGAAAATAAATGGGCACAGGTTTTGTAAGGAAAGCAGATAAGACTGAAAGAGATCTTTGGGCTACAGTCAAACAGAAGAGAGTTGAATTACTAGTACTTAGTAAGTACTTACAGTTGAATCGCCTCATTTCATGAATCCCATTTGTGAACTTCATCAACAAATAAACGAAGAAATTATAACAAAAACAGATCACAGTGAATTAAGAAAATAAACAGCAAAGTGAACAGATACTTTCCAAAATACTATTATAAATGTATTTTCTGGCACTGTATTTCTTTGTTAATAATTTCCATGCAGTTTACTGAAACAGAGTATGTTTATTGCAAGCCCTTTATCATCAAGTATAGGATTAAAAAGGCATCTGGAAAATGTTTAGCTCCTTAACTCTGTATTGGAGTACAGCTTTGGGAAGTAACCTTTAATGAAGTGCTGACTTTGCTGGTAAAGCTGCTTGGGGTTTCATCCCTGAAGTAATTCTGAGCCCTCCTTGTCGATCAGTGTTTATTCCTTTTAAGACTGCAGCAAGAAAACTTGAATGTTTTTTGACTGAAGACAACTTTTGTCAGACCGTTCTTTTGTACATAATATCATGTCCGTGGTTGCATAATCACACCCTTCTCTTGTAAAAGTTTGTTTCTATGCAGTCAGGATGGGCATATGCATATTCTGAGTGTTATACCTTCAGTAAGAATCAGCCATTGAAAATGTTTCCTTGAATGTAGCATTTTTCCTATTAATTTCCACTGAGACTTCAACTGGACAAAATGAGAAAAATAGCTCACTTCAGGAGATGTTACTGTTAGTTCCTAGCATAGGGATTAAGTGATCTAAAATGGCCTTTTTCCTGTCCCTTTCCCATGAGTGCAAGGGGGTGCAAGTCCTTCACTAGGATACAGCTTTGATGTGGATGCTGATAGGGAGCAAAGATATGTCCAACAAAATATCCAACAAAATGATGTCATGTTCTCTGAGGCAAGAAAAGGTAAAACCATGAAGTAATTATTCTAAAGAGGAAATGAAGATATTTCTCAGATGGATCAATGCAAGGTTTGGGAGTCTTTAGATGTAAAGTTAGCCCAAGTCTCTCTCAGCAAACGCTAGTAAAGATATGGTCAAACTGTGCTTGCTCGTGGGACTGTGCCAGATTCCATGTTTACATAAGTAACATCTGCAGGACATTGATTAGAAAACAAAAATCAAAGCTGTGATATTGGCCACAGGATGAGTTATTATTCAGCATATGACAGTAAAAAAACAGGAAATTCACATCAGGGTTCCCTCTTCCCCAATTGCTTTTCCTGATCCTGTTCCCCGACAACCTGCTCTCTCTACCCAATTGTTCCTTTCCCTAATTCTGCCATTGCAGTTTGGGTTTAGCTGGCGGCTCAGATAGCTCTTTGAGGCTCGCACTGCCGCTCCTGCTTTCTTGAACACTTCCTGATCATTCCAAGCTCCATAACTGGGAACTGTTGAAGGAAAGGATGAGGGAAACACATGGTTGCCTGTGACTCAGTCCAGCGAAATTCCAACACTGTTTCTGATGCCATGAATACCTTAGATGGAATAGACAAAATCATCATAAAAGTTGGCAGTCAGCATCGCTTGTGGCAATACTTGTGTCTCCCACTGTATGTGGAAGACATCTTTTTCTGCACAGCATTTCAGGGGACAAACCTGAAGAAGTGCTGCTGCCAGCGTGTACTGTGCGATGGAGCACGGGATAGAGGAGTACAAGTTAACAAGGTGTAGCGCAGTTCCTGCTAAGTCTTTTAGGCCAGTTTCAACAACTGTAGGGCTTCTTGCGCTTGGGAACAACCTTTTGTGCATGTGGTCTGCCTTTCTGCAGTCCCTTGGTTGCCACAGCGATGCTGCTTTCAATTCTGAAGCCCGACCAGGATGCTTTTCCCTGAGGAGTAACATGCCCCAGTGCCTCCTGTAAACGTGTCCCGAGTCTCCTGGGCTGAAGGTAGATGGCACCTGTGAATTGCCATATTGACTAGACACATGTGGAAGGAGTCAGGCCCTGTATGTCTCAAGACCTGATCCAGAGTGCCCGATTCTGACTGAAGTTGGGCCAGTTGCTCCTGATTATGTCTGAAGTAAATAGGAGTTAGGTCAGGTTTGGAACTAGTACAGGTGCGTACTCAAAACCTCCCATGAGATCCTAAACTGGTCACTGCTGCTTTTAGGACCATTACTGAAAAAGCTTTGAAGGCTGTAGTCAGTAAGAATAATACAGCAAATTGCATTCTAATGGTGAGCAAATGGATCCCCATTTTCTTCTAAAACAGCTGAAGAAGGGCAATTTTCACTTTGGGCTCCCTGCTCAGCAGCCCTCCTGCCTGTGCATGTTCAGAACTGCCTTTTCCTGCCTTGCTGCTTCTCTCTCTGTTAGTGATTTAGCTGCAACTCATCTGTGAATGAATGAGTGCTCTTTCACTCTAGCCCATGTTGACGCCGTGCTGAATGTAGTTTCATATACTGTCTGTGAGCACAATACAGCTAGGTAAGTGTTAAAAAAGAGAGAACTGGAAGGACATGAAAATACACGAGTAAGCGATGCAATAGTTGGGAGTTTTTTTGCTTGAAGAGGGAGAGAGATGATGTAGCAGATGAAAAAAGAAAAAGAACAAAATAAATGCCCCTAAACCAAACCAAAAAGCCCCAGTGTTTTCACTTTCGCACAGAGCAAACTTGATGGGAAGTCCTTGTGGGGCACCAAGACTGTCAGTTGAGTGTGTTCCCTGGTTTGCTGCAAGCCCTGGGCTCCAGCAGCCTGTGCTGGATACCAGCCAGTCCTCCATGGCTCCATGTGAGAGGAAACCAGAGTGCTGCTGATTAGAAACCAAGGTGTAAAAATGCAGTTGACACCATGTCCCCCTCCCTACTGGCTGTGGGATTAAAGATCTTAAAGCCAGAGGAGCTCAGCATCTCACAGAGCTAATTTTTTCTATTGAACTAGCTTTCATG